TTTTGCCCTTTCTTTTCAAGCATAACATCCTCACAGCTCATCAGTATGGCTTTCTACCTAAAAAATGCACTAGCGACGCAATGTTTTCCGTTCTTAATGAAATATACACATCACTTAATGATAAACTTTTCACCGCTTCAGTATTTTGTGACTTCGCAAAGGCCTTCGATTGTGTAAATCATGATATTTTAATTAATAAGTTACAAATTTATGGCATACGGGGTTTAAAACTTACCTAGAAAATAGAAATCAACAGGTGCGGGCGAATGGTGAGGATTCTACAAATCTAGCAATAAGCAGTGGAGTACCTCAAGGATCAGTATTAGGTCCAATTTTGTTTTTATTATTCATCAACGACATCACAGACTTAAGAATAAGTGGTAGAATTACTTTATTTGCTGATGACACCAGTGTAACCTGGAATAATTCTAACATGCAGACATTACAATATATCATAAGTGAAGATCTAGTGACTATTAAGTCCTGGTCTGATTCGAATGGACTTTGTTTCAACACCAGTAAAACTGTAGCATTGTCTTACAGAGGTACTTTACAACCTATAACTTTAAACAATAATCTGATCCAAACGGTGACTTCAATCAAGTTTTTAGGTCTTTATATAGACGATTCTCTAAAATGGTCTGCTCATATAGATACCTTAGCAAAAAAATTATCCTCCGCATGTTTTGCCATTAAATCGGTTTCTAAAGAGCTGACTCCTTCTACTGCATTAATAACCTACTTTTCCTTATTCGAATCTCACCTTCGCTATAGTTTACCTTTCTGGGGTTCTTGTAGCTTATACCTTTTCGAATCTATTTTTAAACTGCAAAAAAGAGCAATCCGCTATGTATTTGGTTTAAGTAGTAGGACACATTGCGAAAATTACTTCAAAAATTTCAAAATTATTCTAACCCTTCCTGCTCTATTTATTTTCGAATCCGTCTGCTTAGTTCGCAAGCACATTAAAAATTTATCCGAAAGACCGACTCGTAGATATCCTACAAGAAATTTAGAGACTGATGTTTATTTAACAATGCCCACTTCTGACCTATTAAAACATTCCATTACCTACAATGCCAAAAAATTGTATAATAACCTTCCGATGCAATTAAAATCTATAAATACATACGATAAGTTCCGAAGACTAGCTAAAGCTTTTCTTCTAGAAAGACCATATTACACAGTAGCAGAATTTTATAACGTACCTTAGACATTTGAGTTCCACATACAATGGCATTAATTAAATAATTAAATATTAAAGTTTAAATTTAAATTTAAAGTTAAAAATTAAATTAGAATAATTATAATGACGGATATTGCATATCCATTGCAATTGTTATTCCTATTTTGTCTGTTTGTTTCTGTTTGTTTTTTCTGCTGTTTAGTTATTTTAATAATATGTTTAGTATTTAAGTTACACGCTTTGTCTATAAAATTTTTGTAAATTTTTTTACGACAATAAAGCATATCTCTCTCTCATTAATTAGCACGGATTATCAAAATTTAGATATTTTAGAAAAAAATTGCATAACATATGTGTGTGGATATCTAATTAAAAAGTGCCTAGAATATCACAATTGTGAAACATGCAAAAGTGTAACAGAGTTAAATGAGACAACCATGTATTCTTATTTTAGGGCATATGAAAACCAGTACTCTTGACACTTTTGGAAATCTAAACATGCCAAGTGAAGATTTTGTAAAGTATATATGTAAATTAGATTATGTATTTCATGAGAATTTTGAAAACTTGGCAATTCAACAACATGTTGTTAAAAAATGTGTCAATTTATTTAATATTGTAGAATTTATTCATCCTTGTATGGACTTTCCGCTTAATTATTGTAAAAAATTGTTTAGTCGGGTACGTTTGTACTATTCTTTAAAATTCATTAACAGGAATTTTAAAAATCAAAAAAGTGTTGAAAAAAGAAGAAAAAAAAAACAAATTAATAATATGGAAACACAAATAAAATGTTATTGATTTATTTCTTGTTTTATTTTGGATTCTTCTGCCTTATTACCTAGATAGAAAATTGGTATTGTAGAAATGTTAGCGAAACATTATTTTTTTTATAATTTATAAAGCAAATCGTCAAATAAACTAACGATAAAGTTAGAACTTTGTTAATAAAATATAAGACCAAGTGAGATAATTTAATATATAAATTAATTTGAAATTGATCATAAAGTTTGAGATTTGAGTTTATCCACTTCTATAGTATGAGCAGATTTTATTCACTGGCAAAATCATAAAAATATAAGTATCGAACTTTTAATAACCGAGTTGCATATTAAAAAAATATATAACTTTCCCAGAGAAGAAATTGAAAATTATGTTTTGTAACTAAATAACTTATCCACAACAAAGGATTCTAAAGTAGACTATGACAGATAGAAATACTCGCCATGTCTGTGGCAACTACACACGCCAGAGAACGATATCCAAACTATCATTTAAAAATAATTTGTTGCGTAATAGACATTTTTTCACAGGGGCTAACTTAGGAATACTTTTTTTAATTAGTCCATATTTTCATCCAATCTTATTATTTTAGTATTCTATTGTTAGTTACAAAATTATAATAATTATACAAAAACCAGAAATTCTTATAAAATATAAGAAAGCCACCTCTGATATGCTACTAAGAGCAAAGCCGTACCTGATCTTCCCCCCGGCAAAATGGCGTCTGTCAAGTAACATGAAGTACGCGCGTGTCGAAAAAGATCAAAGGCGCCGCCCGAGAGTGGGATTATCACATATTTTGATTACTATACGAGGCAAGAGAGAGGTACGACACGCCCAACATAGGGCGCGGCCATTTTGAACCCTGTGACACAGTTTACAGCTAAAGAATCAGATCGCTCACTCTGCGTCGGCACTTTGGATCTCAATGTTTCAGTTTATACACTGTGCAACTCGGATAATACAATATATGACAACCGCCTATAATAAAACAGCAGTCTTCTGCGTATCCTGAATTTGTATCCCTGAAGTGGATGTTATTTTGGAACTTTCAACTGGTCCGAGTGAGCTAACTGATTCTTTAGCAATAAACTGTGACTTCAAAAATAATATTCACTGACACTGACAGCAGCAAGCAAAATATCAGGTGCGTTTTAATCATCCGCTTCTGCTTCCGGAATTGTCGGTTTAGTTGTTTTAACCTGTCAGATTAAAACAAGAAAACCGACAATTCCGAAGCAGAAGCGGATGATTAAAACGCACCTATTAAAAATATTGCGCCAAGATGTAGGTAACACGTAATAAGGGTTCAAAATGGCGGAGTTTTCTATCTCCTTTTAAAAGGCACTCAGAAAGCTGCGCAGTACGACCATTCTCCGTATAGTAAAAGAAAATCAAAGTATGTGGGGATTACTGTATGATTAGTTATACTGTGCCAAAATTATCTAAATCAGAATCTATCAACTAAAGAGGATAGCCGAATTAGTTCAATTTGTGCTGGATTAGCCGTGACGTCACTGGGTGGATATATTTAGCTGCATCCCATTAAATATGTACATCGATGCATCCTTTATTTAAATTACGACGGAACATTTGTTATTTTTAAAATAAAAAGTATTTCAGAGAGATAATTAAATACATCTGAAAATTATAGAAGTAAATAAATAGGTAAGTAGTAGGTGATAAATTTAAATACTATGGCCATGTTATCTAAACATATTTTTTAATTAGGAAATATTGAGAAATTTAAAATGTTAAGGTATAAGTCAAAATTTATATATATAGTGTACAGAAAGTACGATAACTCACTAATATTAAGATTTACAATAAAATTGTGAATAAAAGTTTTATGAGATACGAACGTGGCGTGCTCTTAAGGTTGTACTACCTTATCTAAAACTTTGTTTAAATATAATTTGTTGGTGGTTAGTTATTTTTTATATTTTTATCACTAATCTAAACTCAAGTATAGTAAGTTTTAAATTATAGTGGTGCCCAACTCCTTTTTCAAGGTAATTCGAGTTATTTAATAACCTGACCCACGCCCAAAATCAATAGAGCTTAAACACACTATAACAAATAGATAAAATATCAAGTATCACGTTACAAGGTTAGGCAAAGGCATTGTCTGCATCTAAATTGCGATTTCACTAACTTATTCCTATTCATCCATTCCAATAACTCTTTATCAGTTTTATTATAAACCCTCATAACATCTATTATGTTATTAAATTTTACATAATCACAGTAATTACTTCTTTAAAGATTTAAATGCCACGCCACAAATATTTAAAAGTAAACAATTACGGAATATGTATATCTCTATTTATACCTTATAGTTAATGTCCTATGAATATAAAATACTCCCATAAGTGTTTTGTGAATAACACATACATGTTCGATGTCAATAATATGGCAAATAAGCTATAAAATTAGTTTTTGATTAAATTTTTCTTAAAAATTTGTTATTTTAAACTTTTAAGTTACTATATAAAACAGGTACTTTTTAGTGCTTCAAATTATTTCTGAACTCTCATCAATCTATAATGCCTAGATACATACATTCTGGAGAAACTTTGATAATATGGCAATGTGACTTACTACATAAAAATAAGTACATTTTATAACTACAATTTTAAATTTTTAATTCCGACACTCTTAATCTTATACGGACCTTCCTTAATAAATAGTTCAATCTACATATTATTCTCGAAAATCTCAAAAACCACAAGACAGTACAATAAAACTTGACGCCGTCAAGGAAATGTCTTAGGTTACCAAACTTAAAGGTTATGAACGAGAATATGCAAGATCCACATACAATACACGTAAAAATATTGATGTTTTTAATTTTTTTTTTTTTTTATAAGATATTTAATATTTAATAAAAATTTATTGAAATATATTTAATAGAAGAGATCTGTAGTGTTAGAAAGATGTTGCGACCAAATTTAAAAATATGGCAAACAAGGCGTATCTATTCTATCCAATATCTTTGGTCCAGGCTATAAGTCCAGGTGCAGGCCGGTCCCTTATCACTGTGACGTTTAGTTCTGTGACTCTCAATGTCATGTGTAGCTCCTTGTACGTGTCCTCCACATTGCACTGTTACTCTGGATCGTGGATTAAACACTATCTGCATTGTCGACTTACATGGAGCTACTATTGTTTCGTGGAAAGTTAATGACGAAGAACAATTATTTGTAAGCCAAAATGCAGTATATGACTGTAAAAAAGCTATAAGAGGTGGCGTTCCTATAGTATTTCCACACTTTGGGCCCTGGCCACTTGGTCCCCGGCACGGATTTGCTAGAATTATTACATGGAAAGTAGAAAAAGGACCTGTAAAAAGAGATAATGGTGATATTGAAGCTGTGTTTAGTGTTACTGATCAAGACAGAACAAAATCCCTGTGGAATTTTGCTTTCAAATTAACTTACACTCTGGTTCTGGGTGAGAAAACATTACAATTCAAAATAGCTGTTCACAATCCAAGTAAAAATAAAGAATTTACATTTAATTTGCTTTTACATACCTATTTTAAAGTTCAGAATGTTCAACAGTGCAGTATCTCAGGTCTCAAAGGCTGTATTTTCAGAGACGACACAAAAAATGGAATAAAATCTAAAGAAAATAGAGAAACTGTAACTATTACCGAATTTGTAGATAGAGTTTATGAAGACGCTCCTGCACAACAGTTTTTAATTAAATCTCAATTGTCCAAAATTAGAATACAAAAATTAAATTTTCCAGATACTGTAGTCTGGAATCCGTGGATTGAAAATTCTAAGGCAATGGATGATTTTGGAGATGAAGAATACTTACAAATGGTATGCGTTGAATCGGGACATGTTAGTGAACCTGTCATTTTACGGCCTTCTATTACTTTTGAAGCTGGTCAAATTTTAGAGCTATTAAAAAGTGAGGATCAAATTACTTTGTTACCCGTAGGCAAGCAATGACTTATAATTGGAGAAGGTTCTTACGATAAAGCATATGCAAAAACAGGTGCATCAGCTATAACTTTCTTTTTTTTTATATGTTTATTTTCGATAAAAATAACCACATTTTTTTCACTAGATCCGTGTATAAGCCATTGTATTAGAGATTTTGTAAATTTTAATAAAGTTTATTTTATCATTTTGTTTAAGTTTAATGGCCAATTATCGAAGCAGACTCATTGTCCAAAAACTACTTTGATTTATAATAGTCCTGTTCATTTAAAATAACAAAATAAGATATAATGAAAAGAATCCAGTTCTGAACAGAATGGATTGTCATTTGGATCACAAAATTATACTTTAATAAAGGATAACTTGGTGGTGGACAAATGATACTCATTTACATAAAGTGTTCAAAATGTTCACAATCAGCTTTAATGCATGAATTAACCTTCCTTTTTATATTCCCAAACACATTATGCAGTGGCTCTTCGGTTTCATTTTGAATTTGAATGTCTTCTATTTGAAGTAGTCAGTAAGTATAAGTTATGGAGATCTTCGACACCATTATCCATACCATACTATAATCCTTTACTGATCATTTAGTCATCAATATATTCTTTAATTAAGTTAATAGTAGCTCTAGCTATATGAGCTAGTAGTTGCTCTATCTAGCTGAAACTAACCCATATTTAGTTTATCCAACAGTATAAAACCAATTACAGGATGGGCACGAAAATAATTACAATTACAGTATAATTTACATCATAAAAATAAAATATTACATATTAATAATAGCATGAATATACAGGGTGTCTGTAAAAGGTCTTTACAAAAACATACCGCATATTCCTTAGACCAAAATAAGTCGATTTAAGTAAAATTACCTTAGTATAAAGTTGCTTCGTTTGGGCTCCAGAGGGCCTTGAAGTTACAATTTTTAAATCGTTTTTCCCATATAAATTTAAAACGGCATATGCGATTTTGCTGAAATTTGGTATATTGGTAGAGTTTTACGTGGCAATAATAATACATAGGCGTAGAACTTGATTTTTTAAATAATTGCACCTTTAAAAATTCTACCCCAATGGAAGAAAAGGAGTTTGAGTATGAAATTTAGATTGCGCAACTCATTTACTTTAAAAAAGGTACTCTTGATAAGACTCGTTTTGACGAAATTTGCATTTAAGTAATTTTAGAACATAAACAATAATTATTAAAATACAAACTTTGTCAAAACCATGAGAGTAAATCGAGTGTTATCAAGGGTACTTTTTTGTAGTAAATGAGTACCCAATCCAAATTTCATACTCAAACCCCTTTTTTGCCATTGGTGTAGAATTTTTAAAGGTGCAATTATTTAAAAAATCAAGTTCTACGCCTATGTATTATTATCGGACAAAATTTTATACGATGAAAAACATAAAAATGTACTTTTTTCATATCTTCTTCAACACCTCTAATCGAGACTTTTAACAAAAATACTCGATTCTTGCCATGTACGATTTTTTGAGGAATATTAATTATTTGCCTGCAATACGTATACAAAAACATTTATTGTTGGTTTCCATAGTTTCGTCTAAATAAAAATATTGTCAAGTTTTAACACCTAATCTCTTGTTAACGATTGAAAGTGTACTATCTGACTCAATAATTAAAAAAACAAATGCGTGGTTTATTAATATGGCTGTACAATATACCAATGCAGAATATACCGATATGTTACTGACATTAGGATTTTGTGAAGGAAATGCCCGAGAGAGTGTCAGGGTGTACTCTGAAAGGTTTCCAAATCGTCGTGTACCTAGCCACCCAACTTTTGCTGCTGTTGAGAGACGTCTTCGGGAGACCGGTTCCTTTGCTCCCAACACTGTTGATAATGGAAGAGAACGTTTTGTAAGGATTCCTGAAGTTGAAGAAGACATTTTAGAACGTGTTGAAGAAGATCCAGAATTAAACACCAGGCGAATTGGAAGGGAACTAGGAGTAAGTAAAGATGTCGTTCATAAAGTGCTTAGAGAACAATTGCTATATCCATACCATAAGAAGCCAGTACAAGAATTATTAGTCCATGATCCTCAAATTCGTTTGGGTTTTTGTCGATTTGTTAATATGCAAAGAGAAAGAGATCCAAACTTTGTCAAGAAGGTTCTCTTTACCGATGAAGCGGGTTTTACAAGAAGAGGTTTAACTAATACCCATAATGAACATTTTTATGCCGTTGAAAATCCGCATGCAATAAAGGTAAACCATTTTTAGCACGAATTCAAAATTAATGTATGGGCTGGAATAATTGGTAATTTCATTGTTGGTCCTGTCATACTTCCACGAAGATTAACTGGAGAAAATTATTTGGATTTTCTACAAAATACGTTGCCAGAATTGTTAGAAGATTTACCTCTCCAACTTTGGAGAGATATGTGGTTTATGCAAGATGGAGCTACACCACATTTTTCTTTAAACGTTAGAAACCACTTGAATGAACAATATCCACACAAACGGATAGGCAGAGGTAATGACGCACCTGTAAACTGGCCACCACGTTCCCCAGACCTAACACCGATGGATTACTTTTTATGGTAACATCTGAAATCCACAGTTTACAGGGAACCTGTAGAAAATGAAGAACAACTCTGGCACGTATTCAAGATGCAATAAACAATCTTAGAGGTGATGAAGAAGTTATGGAAAGGATACATTTTAATTTTCTTCGACGTATAAATCTTTGTATGCGTGAAAATGGTGAACATTTTGAACAATTTTTGTAAAATCTCTATTTTGATTATGTTGTAAATAAATATTTTTGTGAAACCTATACACTCTAAATTATTAAAACAAAAATTTAGCGAAAACCATGACAGTAATGGAGTCTTATCAAGAGTACCTTTTTTAAAGTAAATGAGTTGCGCAATCTAAATTTCATACTCAAACTCCTTTTCTTCCATTGGCGTAGAATTTTTAAAGGTGCAATTATTAAAAAAAATCAAGTTCTACGCCTATGTATTATTATCGGAAAAAATTTTAATACCATTTTTTTTGCCATATAAAACTCTACCAATATACCAAATTTTAGCAAAATCTTATATGCCGTTTTAAATTTATATGGGAAAAACGATTTAAAAATTGTAACTTCAAGGCCCTCTGGGGCCCAAACGAAGCAACTTTGTACTAAGGTAATTTTACTTAAATCGACTTATTTTGGTCTAAGGAATATGTGGTATGTTTTTGTAAAGATCTTTTACAGACACCCTGTATATGAACAAAAAATAGTTTAATAAACGTTTTAACCATCATAAGAAAACGCAAAAAAAACTCTGTTAGGAGAAAAAATTACGTTGTCTTATAATAATTAACTTAATCCACAACTACGCGTTTTATTTCTCTAATTGAACTAGAAAATAAATCAACATCACTTTGAAGTTCACAAAAAGTTTGATACATAAAATACATTGGAGAAAATTTTTAAATATTTGTCCTGGGAGTCTGAAAATATAAATACAAAGGGGAGCGAGTTCTGATACTAGGAACATTAAACATTAGTTGACGAAGTAGTTCGGGACAGTCAATTTTATAATTTAATAATTTGTAAAGAATGCAGATGGAATAACATTTCCTGCGAGTACGTAATTCAAGGATATCAAATCTATTTAGCAAGATGGTTTGAAGAATATTGCGAGTAGGGTAGACGCCATCTAGCTTGCACCACAAATATTTGACAAATTTTCGATGAATTTTTTCTAATGCCTGACTATGTACTTCTTATCCGGGACTCCAAAAAATGAACGCTTATTCTAGTTTACTACGTACAAAAGCATTAAAAATAGTTTTTAAAGTAATTATACTCAATCGGATTTATTTTACGAGTGAAGCTGATAGAAGCACTTAGATATGTTTAGCGGTAAGTTGTTAGAATTACACCAAAGGTTCAATTTATTTAGGTTCTCCTGCATAATCAAACGGTCATCAATACTGGAGATTGATTTAAACAATTTTAAATCATCGGCATGGAGTAGAGTATTACATGATAGGTTCTCAGTAATGTCATTTACAAAAATGGTAAATAAAAGTGGTCCCAGAACTGAACCTTGAGGGACACTGGAAGAAGCTTTTATACAAATTGACTGAAAACCATGGTATTTAACTTTCAATTTACGATTACTTAAATATGATTCAAAGAAACGCAGAAAAGTCGTAGTGAGTCCAACAATGGAAAGCTTGTTCAAAAGTAGGGGAAACTGTTGTACCTTGATAACAGTGCACCTTGAAACACTTCAAACTGTGAAAGTAGGTGTCGCTCTCTAGTGGTCATGTTTCTCAGAGAAGTGCACCATGTATCGTACCTATCTTATCAGTGTGGTTTTGTCTGTTATACGTAGCATTTACTTAGTGTTTTGTGAACTAGGCGATTTTCGTTCGAAAATTAAAAGTGAAATAGTGGCATATTACTTCTAGACGGCACAAGGTAAATATTACATGTTTCTACAGTTAAAATTACAACCATTTTTTGGTATATTCAGTAGGTTTACAATTTATTATCATGGTTCTGGAGAGAATATAAAAAAAATTTATAAAATGGAGCCATCTCTTGTACCTTAAAACACCATCCATCGTATACCTTGAAACACTATATAATTCAATAACCAAGTAATTAAGGATTAGGAATAATCTTCATTGCTAACTCAATACGTTGTTTCAGATTTGATAATGCCAAGAAATAAAGCAGGAGTAAAACGACCACCAGTTAACACCGAAAACCTTAAGCAAGCTATATTAGCAGTCACTCGTGATCAAGAAGAAAACATTTCTTTGAGAGAAGTTGTTAAGGTCTATAAAGTCTATAAATTTACATACAAATGTAATTTGGACGTAAAGAAAGTTTTCTCTTTAGAAGAAGATAACAGACTATATCACTACTGTTTCAAAAATGCATTATGGTCTAACTAAAAAAGTTGTGCGAGAACTTGCATTCAAATTTGCCATAGCAAATAGAAAGAAAATTCCCGCAAATTAGGAACAGGAAAAATTAGCAGGAGAAGAGTGGATGCATCATTTTATGAAACGGCATCAGGCAAAGTTATCGATAAGAAAACCAGTGGCGACAAGTTTAGCTAGAGCAACTAGCATTAATAAATCCAACGTTTACAAGTTGTTTTCCAACATAGACGTTCACAAGCGATTTAAAATTATCCCCCCTGAAATAATAAGGAATATGGACAAAACAGGTTATACCACTGTTCAAGCACCACCAAGAATCGTGGCTCCCAGAGGTATAAAGCAAATAGGGAGTACGACATCAGCTTATCACTTTAATATGTGCAATAAGTGCTACTGGAAATCACATACTACCTTTTTTATTTTTCCAAGGGTAAATTTTAAGGAATATATGTTAAGCGGAGCACCACCTCGTAGCATCGGTTCGGCAAACCCTTTTGGATGGTCAAATGATGAAAAATTTCTAAAATGTATGGAACATTTCACTAAACATGTAAAGCCCTCTAAAGATGAACCAGTGCTTCTAATCATGGACAATTATGAAACACACTGTTCATATGATGCTATCGATATGGCTTTAAAAAATGGTATCAAGATAGTTACTTTCCCTCCCTATACCAGCTTACAGCCACTAGATGTTAGAGTTTTTGGTCCGTTTAAAACTTTCTACAACCAAGGTTTGGATGCATGGCATATTAACAATAACGGAAAAACATTCTCAATTAATAATATTGCTGAAATAGTAGGATCTGCTTTTCCTCAAGCTTTTTCAACAAATTATATTAGTAGTGGATTTAAAAATACTGGGATCTATCCTCTAAATATAGGAATTTTTGATGAAGATCTGTTTTTACCTTCTTTGGTAACGGATAGACCAATGCTGGATACTGAAAATACAGCTGTTGCAGGATCTTCATCAGAAGTACGTAATGTAACAGCTGCCGAAGACATAGCGATCGCGGGGCCTTTATCAAGACCAGATGCATTTAAATCCCCCGAGCAGTCAGACCTTGTGACGTTCATATCTGCACAAGAAGTTAGGCCGTTTCCAAAAGCAACAACCCAACGGAAAAGAAAAAGAGCCTGTGAAACCACTAAAATATTAACCGATACCCCACAAAAAGAGGAACTTCTAATAAAAAAGCAAGTAAAAGAAGAAAAGAAAAAAAAATAAAAATAAAAAGTTGTTTGAACAGAAAAAGAAGCAGGTAACTAAAAAGTTGTTTAAGAGACGCTCGAACAGCAATAGCAGTGACAAGGCAGTTATCTATGAAGAGAAAAGTGATGTTGAAGAAAAGACGCTTAATGATATTTTATCAGCCTCTTCAAATAATGAAGGCGATAGTGACATGGATCTAGAACCGCTAACATCAGACGACGTGGCAGTTGGAGATTTTGTGCTCGTCTCTTTTAAAGGAAAAACTGAAGTTGTTCATTATGTGGGTTGTATACAAGAATACCTTTCTACAAATGAATTTTCCGTGAGTTTCTTACGAAAAAGATCGCCTCAGACATTTCATTATCCATCTGTACCAGATGTAGCATCTATTGACATTGGAGACAGTGGTAAAGTTATCTTGCATAAATACAATTGGCACTGCAAGAACAAAAAATGTCAAGAGCTTTAATTTTCCATTTTATAAGTTCAACACCAAATAATATTATGCGAATGTTGTATTTTTTAATTGAAATTTAATAAAATATTTAAGTTTTTTTGACTAATATTACATTTTTTGTTTCAAGGTACGTGAATGTTCGTGTACCTTGAAACAAATTTAAATTTTTTAATAAAAAATGTGTAAACTTTAATTTAAAAGCGAAGTGTATAAAAGTAAAGCAAGATTAAAAAAAATATGCTACCTACACTCTGGAATTAAAACTAAGTTACAAATCTTAAAATTTGAATTTTTAAAAATGAAAACCTAAAATGTGTTCCGAGGTACAAGAGCTTCCCCTATACTATGATCGAGGCGATCAAAGGCCTTGGAAAAGTCAGTATATATAGCTTCAACCTGGCCACCCCTATCAATATTGTATGCAACATATTGTGTAAAAGCATATCAGATTGGTCTCTGTGGATCTGCCTGGACAAAAGCCGTACTGTGCCGTAGATATAATCGATTTTACATGAGCGAAAAGTATTTCATAAATGACATTTTCGAAAACTTTTCCAAAATTGCAAAGGATGAATATAGGTCTGTAGTTTTCTATGATAGATTTAGATCCTTTCCTAAAGAGTGGATTTTAGATATCTTCCAATAACTTGAAAAATTCCCTTCTTGTAAGGACATATTAAAGACCATGGTTAAAGGTTTGGCTAAAATATTTGCACAATCTCTTATCAAAAATGCCGGAATATCATCTGGCCCTCTAGTATTTTTAGGATCTTTTGAGACCTTTAATGACATCTTCTTCTGTAAGTAGCGGAATGTTACAACTGTTAATATTAACAACATAATCTAGTTTAGACATCAATTTTAGACGAAATAATGTACGTTTGACTGAAGATTTGTAGCAAATGCATTGACAATGTCTTGTGAATTATTTAATGGATTATTATCATAAGTCATAACATTTGGTATACTACTACAGTTTCTTCTTGAATTTTTATACTGCCAAAAATAATTGGAGAAGATATTCTATTCTCAATATTTGTCAAATAATTCCTGTAATTAACATGTCCCATTTAATTTTTGACCTAATACTAACATACTAAACGAGATTATACTTCTATTAAACCAAGGAGGATATTTTGAATTGCACCTTGGTGCAGTTTTTGGTACATTAGCGGCAATTGCGGAATTTAAGATAGAATTAAACAAATCACAGGTCTCCTCAGAAGTTGCGCATGCATTCAAACTATTCCAATTAATTCTACAGATACTCTGGTAGAGTTGAGGAAGATTTGCCTTTTTGAAATTATAAGATAATTTACTTGACATAGCAAAACTGGTATTTATTTAAGAAAAAGACAGCCGAAATTCTAATGAAGGATGTAAAATATCTTCGTCAATTAATGGATTAAGTTAACGATTTACTGCGATGTCAACTAAAGATTAAATCGGGTAAACGGTTATTAAAATTAAGAGTATTATTATATAGTAATATAACGTACAGATAGCTAGTCGAGACTGAACTTTTTAAACCAAGTACGTCAATAGAAGGAGTAGTCAGTTCAGAAAGATCTAGTCTTAAGGCATTGTATTCTTTCTTTAAAGCAATTAACATACCTCCACTTTAGTAGTATTGGTAATATTAAAATTTCTGTCAGAACGAAATACTACATAATTTTCATACACAGAAGAACTCAACCAAGTTTCTGACAATGCTAATAGGTCGTGGTTACATTCGACGAAATTATTGAACATTGTGGCAAGTTTTATGTTTAATCCTCTAACATTCTGGTAAAGTACACTAAGTTTATGTTGGCTAGTATCAGAAATGCTTGATGATTGTTATGATGACATTAAAGAGTTCCTATAATATTCAAGTTTTTTCTGATAAACAGGGCACTTTAAATGATCCCAAGTAAAATATTTAAAATCAGAAGTTTTAGCGTTAATACAGTTAATAAATTTTATTTCAGAATCAATGGGACAATCTTTAATTTAATGTGGTCAAGAACATTTAGGACAAGCAATATTTTTTAAACACGACCCTTAGTTATGACCGAAGCCGGTGCACTTACAACATAATGTGATATCTATAGCATCAAACACTGAACATATATCGTAGCCAACAAAAATACTTTGAAGAGACATTGCTTTCACATAAGTTTCATTTTTCTTGGTAGCCCTAATTTTCACAACGCTGCAAACTCTGGACGATTGGATGACATGATTTTGGTACTTAAGTAACAAAATAAGTTCGTCAGGTTCATCTCAATCATTCCAACTGTTCTAAGTTTCGGATTTCTACTTTTAATTTTTTTTACTTCGTAAGCATCTGATAATTTTGCGTTAGCTGCATTTTTAAATTTAGATGCGTCTTCATTCTTACTATACCCAACAAGTATTCCTCCATCTCTAGTATTCTTAACTTTTGAAACTTCTATATTTAGTTTAGTGGGATTATTATTGCTCATAATATCAGCCTTAGTTTGAATATTATTTTGTGTAGCATCTTTAAGTTTAATAACTACAACCGATTGACATCTCGCTTGAGCGACTTGCGAATGAGTTGACTTATTTAAATCAAAAGGAGGTATATTGGTAATATTTTCTTTGGCCATTTTAAAAATTTCTTCTTTAGCTTCAGTGAATAGTTTCTCTATATTACCTATCACCTCTTTTAGCTTAGTATCCAAAGTGTGCGAAAAATAAATACTTATTAAAATCAGAAACAGCAGGATAACATTCTTGACAATACCATAGAAACCCATAAATTTTAGTATGTTTGGCAACGTCCGAAGGAACTCCAAAACAACCGGTGTGAAATACTTTTTGTCCACAAAAACTAGCACATGAAATACCGGGTTTTGTTCGGCTTTTTGCAGTGTCACAAGAATCACAGCTTATTGTTTATGTAGCTGATCAACAATTTCACCAAAACTGGTTCTAAGTAATTGGGCACTATAGAAAAATATGGGCCATTTTCCTTGAACATTTCTATCCAAATAACAACTTTTATGGCATTTAGACTTGTCTTCACAAATGAATGAGGATTCTCAATTGTTTAAAAGTCCCATAAAGTAAACTGTTGACATATTCTGATAAGTAAAACCAAATTTTGTTCTATGTGAATTCGCATATCTTCAACAACAACTTCTGTTATTATTGTGGTCCTTCCAGTGCCCTTTCCTTTACAAATGCAATGTTTTGTTTCAAAACGTTGAACATATATTTGTTTATGAAGACAAAAAGTATCATATTCTATTTGTACATCTGGATAACGTTCCTCATACTGTTGAATACATCTCTGCATTGAATATGACCAGCAGTTGAATTCTCTTCTTTGGATAAGATACATATCGAGACGCATTAAAATCCCTGTGCTGGTTCCATTAGCATATTGTCAATAAATTTTTACAGAAGACAAATTTTAACTTACCAACAGAAAAGAATTAAGGCCCTAATTAACTGTAACTCTAATTCGTTTAATAATATTGGATGAAAAAACGTGTTGACAAAATGCAAATAGAACGATAATCTGTAAATGTCTCCAAACTGAACGCCAATGACATATTTGACAGAAGTGACAAATTCAGTTGTCGTAAAAGTTAGCTACTTTCAATGGGTTCTGTGATGTTTGCAGATCACGTAAGATACGGATATAGCTGAAGAGCCTCTATATGCAATAATAAGGATGATATAAGGTGGATAAATTATTATAAATTATTATTATTATTCGAACTTTCATTATAGGGTTTTGATGCTCACACAGATAAGTAAGCTCGCCATCTCTGAATGGTTTAACTAACTTGCTCGCATTTGCAGATCACATGGGATACGGATATTGCTGAAGACCCTCTATATGCAATAATAAGGATGATATAAGGTGTATTATTTGAACTTTCAATTTAGGGTTTTGATGCTCGCACGGATAAGTAAACTCGCCATCTCTGAATGGTTTAACTAACTTGCTTGCATTTAAAATCCTATACAATTGTCTTATATATAATGTAAATGTAATAACTAAAAATTGTGTGATCTATAAAAAAATGATAATAAAAACAAATTAAATTAAAATAATATCAAGCAATTATCAACACAATGGTAAGTATATCAATAAAAAAATTTAATAAATAATGGAATCCAAATTAATTAAAATTCATTGGGTTGATTAAAAATATATTTTACGTAAGCAAATATTTTATTTAAAAGGTATTCATTTAATATTTTATTTAATGGGGCCACGTACTTGTTATATTGCTTTGAGTACTGTCAGAAATTGTTCAAATTTAAGTACCGTAAAATGGGGTGAATAGAAACAGGTTTCATGTTATTGTGTAACGCTACTGCGATGTTTGATGAGATAATGTAGTTTATATTAGTGTAAAACTTGGGTCTTAGTCTCTTCTAGATGAAGTGTACTATAAATTATTTAAAAAAAATTAATTTGTATTTCATTTTTTTTTTTTTTCGTTGTGTTTCTATTCACCCTACAAATGGGATCAAAAGAAACACATACTTAATTGAGCGTTTGTATCTATTCATAGCATTGTGGGGTGTCTAGAGACTTTAAAAGAAAAATTCAGTTTGATTAAATCAGTTTTATTTAACACAAAAACCTTAAAACGAACTAAAAACAAAAAGTTCAATATATTCATCTACATAGTATATGTAAATATAAACAGATGAAGAAACCAAAAACATAAAAATTAAAAACATCAGTAAATAAAATTAGTATATTGTCAAATCACTGAGATTATCCGAAAAAGAAAGCATATCTTTGAATCGACCAGAGGAAAAAACAGTGGGAGAAGACAACCCTCGAACTATATCAGCATGATCTATGAACGACTCTTTAGTTGTTACAGAAAACTTAATTGTCCATCATCAACGAGATAACAAATTTTGATCACGTACAATCTAACAGACTGCTTGGTCTTACCGTAGACTTTCCCAATTGCAAAATCTCCAGGGTGAAGGGTGTCGGTACTTCTACATCTAGGACTATTTGTGAATGAATATTCTTTATCTTCAGAAAATGATGGGTCCAATTCATCATCACTATCTTGAAGGGAATATTTAGAGCTCACTGACGATGAATCTTTATCATTCGTTTTTGTATTTTTCTTTGAACGAGTAGGATGTTTGCTTGAAGAAGCTACCGGTGTTACAGCTTGGTTGAAATCTGCAGGGTCGATATCTGCTTGATATTCCTGTATGCCGATGCTTTTACCTGGTTGAACAACACATTTTTTCCTAGCCTTCCGGGGTTTTGGGGTGTCTCCTTGCCTCAGACTTCTTAATAATTCTTTAAAAGTGTCGTCGATTGATTCAACGGTACACATCTGTAATGTCTGGATAGGGTCAGTATTAGGTAGCATTGACAATACTTTGACTCGACATATAGGGACAATACCACATTTTTTAAAACCGGAAATAACATTACCTTGTTTAAATGTTGAACATAGCTGATTTAGCAAACCAGGAAATTTGTCTTTTGGAACAGTCGACTCATTTCTACCTGGACCTTTTTTCCAAGTTTCTAAAATATGACGCCAAGATATCTTTACTGGACGAAAAAAAAGCCACGTCCAGTGGCTGGGTCAGGTGGGTTGAATTGCTTGGGAGAAAAATGAATTTAATATGGTTCTCCTCACACAATCTAATTGCCTCCAATGACAGATGTGATGCTAAATTATCACCAATCAAAAACTTTTGTCCCTCAAACCTTTGCAAATAGGGGACTGCTACAGTTTCAACCCAATCTTGAAAACAGAAGGCATCGAACCAGTCCGATTTTGTTCTATTGTAACGAGAGTTTTTAGGGTCATTTTCAGTCCAACTTTGGTAGAGATGTAGGGCTTTATATACCACATAAGGAGGTAATATATTGCCGTCCCCAGCAGCAGCAAACATCACAGAAACCGAAGATTTTGTAGAGTTCATTACACGTTCCGGATATTTGCATCCTCTTCTGGTAATAACTTTCTTCCTCTCTGGGTCATCAGATAAATGCGTCTCGTCATAATTAACGATGTTACCAGCTGGTACGTCTTTCAATTCCACCTCGAGATGGTCAAAGTATTCGTTTATCACCTCCGGAGAAATAGCAGCCCTGCTTGTTTTTATATTTTGGCACATCCTTAAAGATAAGGCTTGTTTATGTCTTTCCATAAAAGAATATACGAAGTCCCTACCAGGTAAATTGTCTTTGAACACTTTTATGCTTTTTCCCTGACGATCTAAAAACTCTTTCACTAAGAGTCTTAATGTCAGGGAATCAATGGGATAACCCCAGTCTCCACATAACTGTAGTCTGTTTACAAGAATGGATTCCTCCGTATTAGATAAAACCGTCTGTGCACCTTGTTTTTTCATTTGTTTTCCCCGTTTGAAATGTCTTTACGCGCCACGAAAGTCTACACCACTGAGCAGCATTTTACCTACCTTCTAATAGGCGACCCTAATAGACCAGTTAATTACAGCATTTGACAAAGCGACGTTATTGAAAGTAACCACCTTGTCAACTGTAGGACGCCCAACCAATATTCAAGTAGACCAGTTTATTGCAGCACATCCGAAAGCGAGGATCACGTGATTAACGAACTCGTCAACTTTTTATCTATTTAACTTAAATATATCTTCACGTCGGTTTCACTGCGTTACATGTGACCAAATGAAAACGAAAATTAGAAATGCGCCGTCTAGAATAAAGCAAGAATCCCCTTAACTACAATAATAAACAGTGATATCAGTACAAAAACACTTGATTTGTCAAAACCAATTTTAGTAGAAAAATTTGAAGAAAACGAAATTTAAAATTTAGAAATATATAATTTGGAATCATTTAATGATAAAAATGTAAATTTTAAAAAGATTAGAACAGATCATCTGAATAATGAGGAAAGAGCAAAAATTTTAGAATTATGTCATGAATATCAAGATATTTTTTATAAAGAGGGTGAACCCCTAACTTTCACAAATAAAATTAGAAATAGAATACGAACTACGGACGAAATACCTATTTATTCTAAAACATATAGATGTTAGCGGTATTTCTCTATACTCCCCATCATACATTCTTGAAGTCCATACACATGCGTGTCAGGATGGACGAGCGGGAGAAGACAGACCAGCGCAGTGGGTAGTACGCGAATAGACAGTGGCAATACCACAGCAACATTGTAATTGAGAATACTTGATCGTGAAATAAACCATTGAAAATCAGTTTAGACATTTTTATTAGGGATGATACATCCCTTAAGTTTATATCAGAAGTGGGATCACTACGCGTACCGTGGCTAATAGACTATAATTAGTAATTTCAGTTGAAGTTAGTGCTAGTGATAATGGCGGACGAAAATCCTGAACCTCGTGACAGTGCGTCAGCAGAACACAATGTCGGTCGATGCTAAAGACAATGTGAACGGACATAGTTCAAAGCATGCTAAATTTCAGTGGTAAGAAACATTAATAAACTTTGTAGCAGCCCAAGAGTAATAAATGCTGATGTATCTCAACATTCCAAAATGGCTACGTAACCGTTCGCCAAGCCAACGCCCAGTGTTGCAGGAAGAAATTAATCTAATATGCAAGCGCCGACATTTGCGCCTGTGCAGTTTTCGACTTACCCTGACCCTGACGACAGCACATATTCCATAAAAGAATGGTTTGAGTAACGCTACCAAAAATAAAAGGCGAACTTAGCGTTAGAGATAACTTCATGGCCGCTAAATCGAGCAAAGCATCTAAGAATCGCGGTTATTGGTATTGTTGTGACTGCTGACTTCTTTCTCGAACGTGGCAAGACTTTGTG